CAAGCAGCCACACATTGCTCTGACCACATAAATCAGAGCCCCAGGCGCTTTACCTTCTTTGTAAGCCTTGATTATCTCTTTGATCTGCGCCTTTGTCCGGGATGCCAGAATCTCTATGATAACATCTTCACTTGTTCCCACACCCTTTAAGAGAAAACATAGTGGAGAAATAAAGGTGGAGAAAGGCATCTAGTCACGGAGTGTAATTTATTGTTAGAGAAGTACAGTCAGGTGAGGGGTCAGATGGCAGCACAGTGTTAGGCTGTATGCTGAGCTGTGAGGAACTGTCAGAACGAAAGGTGAAGACATAAAGCATCTTTGATTCAAACATGGTTTCTTTTACTGAGGTGCCTAATTCATAAAGGGTGATTTTGTATAACCCTGTACAGGCGGATCTAGATCTTTGATGACAGACAGTCTTAGAGGGATGTGGGGAGATGAATGCTTGCCTGTTATGTTTGTACAGAAACTCTCATATACCCCTAAATATTACGCAGCATTTTCCCCCAGATATGCATTAATAGCACAATTAATTATTTCTCATAGGTTACTGCTAATAACAAACTTAATCATGTAACAGTCCAGTTATTACCACTTGTGTTAATAAGCACAGTTACAGGAAATTAACCCTGGATCCATGCTGCTACTTAAATATCAGCACTCAATTCGCTTACCTTCATGGCATCATAGAGCTCCTTGGCATCATACTTGAATGGGGAGTACATGAGAGCTACCATGAGCCTCTGAAAGCTGCCACTCAGTTCAGACTTCAGACTTGCAATCAGATCCTGTTAAACATGCACCACACAGTTACATAAAAAGCCTCAGAGGATCTCTTTACTGTTTAGTGCTGTTTCCATCCCCATAGCCTACAACAATGAAACTGAACAACTGTATGGTGTTGATAATCGCTTATAAGAAAAGGTCCTGGGACTGAAAAAGGCCCAAAATGGGATTTGTCTAGGTCCTCCCACATACCCTGTTGTCCCATTACTCAAGCTTCTTCCAGGTACTAATTAATTCTGCAGCAAAGAAGGGAAGCTAAAAATCGTGCTCCACCCTGCTTTACCCAGTGAGCAGAACCAGGCAGCTGAAGGCTTTGAATTGAGCGAGGGGTGTAGTTTCAGACAGAGCTTATTCCCAAAGCCTGCATATAAACATGCACCCAAGACTTTTGCAGAATCAGGCATGCAATCTGTTCAAAGATAGATTTCAAACTTTCACTATAATGCAGGTTTTCTAGGGCATGACCCACCCTGTTTTAGTGGGATGCAAGCACTCTATTCATTGTCTCATACTTGCCATCCCCTATTTGCTTCCCTTTCTTGGGTCTTTGCACAGCAGTCCCCCTTCTAGCAAGGGTCACTGGAGACTCCTGTTTCTATGCTGACTTAAGAGCCTCTACTGCTCTTTCCCAATACATTTCTTTCTTTCCCCCTCTAACTGCGACTCTCAGACAACTAGCTCCAGAGTACAGCTGGTGGAAGAGTTTGCCAGCAGAAGAGTTTTGCCAATAAAGAATTTTATCAAAAATGGAAAAGTAGCCACAGGAAAATCTAGTTGTCAATAACTGCAGTTTGTTTTCATTTGCAGAATTTCCGAACAAATGTAATTTAATAAGTCTTTAAATTGAACTTTCTACGGCATTTAAAAGGGCCCCAAATCAAACCAACATTTTACTCAAAATGCCACTTAGAAAGGTATTAGTTTGTGTTATAGCTTTGAAAGCAAAAAGAAGTTACACTTTAAATTAAAATAAATTTAAAAAAATATTTCTGGTCAAAAAGCATTTTACAAAAAAACCCCAACAACAACAAACACCCAAACAAAAAACCACCAAAAACTTCCCCCTCCACCAATATCTGGAGGGAAAACAATTTTTTCTGACCAAAACTTAATTTCACACATCCACCCCAGGCCTTATATGCAGAAGACCTGCATATTGTTTACACCATGCTTGCAGGATGAACTGTACATCCATTTACTGCATCCTGCACGCAGTGAAACAGTGACTGAATATGGCTTTGTTTTGGAAGAACCTTTCCAAACTGTCCTTTGAAGGATTTGGCAATCTGTTGACGCTGCATATTGCTCCTCTTGGTTAGGACATCAATTATAGCTTGTTCATCAGTCCCTGCGGAGACCAACAATAAGCCATAAACACAGTGCATAGAATAAGTTAAGACTAGTCCAAAATCCCAATTCAAGTATTCAGACAATCTTCCCTAGTTCATTGCCTTCATAATGTAGAATTTTAATTATGTATTGAGGAAAATTTAATTTTTTTTTTTCACATTAAAAAATTGTATCTCTGGATGCAACTTTCTTAAGGAATGGCTTTCAACTGGGCAATTATAAGCAGCATATGGAATTTACACATGTGGTTGGAGCCAACTCACCAAGCCCTTTCATGGCCTTGAACAGAATCTGAGCATCAGGTGCGGGGTCAAAGTTTAAAGCGCCTGTCACAGACCTGCCCTCTGCTTCACTCTGAAAAAAGAAGAAAAATACAGGACTCTTCACCACTGCTTTTCGTCAGCTGAAGAAAAAGTATCTTGAAAAGCAAATTAGTATTATTCATTGCCTACACAAGGGGAAGGCACAGGAGAGTGGAGGGATTGGTGCCAAGTGTCTCAGCAGAGCTCCGAAGAGACCACAGGTTTCCTGCCTCCAACCGTGTCTACCAGCCTTCAGCTCCTGGCAGAAACATGAAGTGCAAAGCATGACTGACACTGCTGCAACAGTCATTAGGTGCGGGCAATCTGGTAGAAAAAGCTGAGCAGGCTAGTCTTTCTTCTCCTGTTAAATACAACGCTTCATAACGTGTATGCTATTGTATTATACTGTTACTAGGAACTGCGTTTCTTAGTGGTTTGGTGCAGGGTAGGTTTTACACATAGTTTTTTGACTCATTGAACAGTCACGCTTTCACAGACTATTTTTCTAGGTAGCAGCTTTATTCTCCTGCTACTGCTTCACCTGTGCACAACTGATTTCAAGAAGGAGTATCACCACTGGAGGGATTTGGGCCAAGAGACTACTTAGAAAGAACAGATCTGTCTGGAGAAGTGCGTGTTTGATGTTCTCCCCTGAACCAAGGGCCAACTACACAGGAGTCCTTCAGACAGACCCTAAGTCACTAATGTCCCGGTTTTGACTAGGACAGAGTTAGTGAGGTTTTTTAGCAGCTAGAACAGCTCTGTGTTTTGGTTTTAGTCTGGGATTCATTATAAGAAGAGTGTTGATAGCACACCGATATTCACAGTTGGTGCCGAGACATCAAGGACCTTTCAGCTTCCTGTGTTTGTGCCAGTGTGCAGAAGCACAACAGGCTGGGGGGCAGCAAGGCCAGGACAGAGGGTCCACAACTCCTCTTATGATTTGAATTTAGACTTAGCATTGAGGGCTAAATTGGCCAATGAAGTATTTCATATCATGCAACATCACACCCAGTATATAGATGAGGGCTGATCAGAAAGAAAGGTTTTTGCTCTCTGGAGGCTCTCTCGGAGCGTTACTTCTCTCATTCTCTTTTTGGGCCTCTTGCTTATCCAGGATTGCTGTGTTGGGACTTACCTCTTTCGGAATCATTTGCCAGAACAGGACAGGCGTTGGTCACCAGGCGGTAAGTAATTATACTATGCATCACTTCTTTGTATGTATTATTATCATTACTACCCTTAATTTTATATTATTATTATTATATAATACTTAACCCATGAGCCTCCTCTTTTCCCCTTTAATTCACTTTGCCATTCCCTGGGGGTGAGGGAGGGTGAGTGAGCAGCTGTGTGGCATTTAGTTGCCAGCTGGGCTAAACCACGACAAGTCCCAGGGCAGAAAGACATGCTGAGACTTATTCCAGTCACCACAGGGGCTGGAGTGGGGCCATCAACTAGAAGCAGGCTTAAGAGTTTGAACTTAACAAGAGCTGTTAGTCAAGGGACTGGCTTGAATATATTGACGCATCTCTAACATATAAAGTCCTATCAACAGGGGAGTATATGAGTGGTTAGTCAGAGAGAGTCATCACCACTTAATTCCAGTAACGGACAGAATTTTCTCTTCCATAGCAGCAGAGAGATTTAAGTTGCCTTACTATATTCTCATAAATTTACTTGCAGGGATATAGTTAATATGAACTAATGATATTAGTATGACTTAATGGATTTTTCAATGGGGGTGGCCTCAGTCAGATAAAAAACATCTTCAAATCAGAGCTTACAGACCAGAAGAAATCACTATGGTTGTCCCATCTGGCTAGCATAACACGGATCACCAAGTGCCACCCAGCAGCCTCCTGCTATGGGGCAGATCCCTTCTGCTCTTATCTCCTGTGCTAAAGAGGGCTCTACCCTTCTTCTCCTAGAGTCTCAACCACATCCTCCATAGAGAAAAAGCCTTCAAGCAATCCTTGCCAGGTAGATCCTGTGCCTCATGATTCAGAGAAAGAGGGAGCGCAAAGCTGAGCTTTCATTTGGAGGCGGAAACAACTTAAACAATAGTCTTCTATTTGGTACTAATTCCAATAAACATTTACAGCCCATCCTGGCTCAAGTAGAGCACTCATGACTCATATACCTCATTCTCTGTGTATTTAATTATTCCAGCACAGGTACAATCATAACAGGTTTCCAGAATAACCCTGTTCAGTTTAGTCTTTTTTCCCACATGAACTGATCCTACAATTACCTAATTGAAACTACTCAAGGCATCCGTGTAAAGCTTATGTGAAGATGAATAATCGGCATAAAAGCAATGGAATCAGTGTACCTTACAGCTGATTCCCTGAAAAGTTTTACATATAAATGAAGGGGATCAGAATTAAAAGTTTTCCTACCAAAATATTTTCAAATCTAGGCGGTAGTCTATTGAAAAGCTGGAATTTAGGGATAGGTGGGGTTACTGGGTTCTTTTTCAGTGGAATATTTCTGAAAAAGTTTCACATTTTTTCATTCTGTTTCCTTTAGAAATCTATTTTTTATGAAGGGTTTGGAAAACCAAAACAATTTTCTATCATCTTTTCTTTGCCATCTCATCTTCTCTTCATGCCTCCAACCCCTACAACACCAATAGTAAGAGATTGCTGGAACTTTCAAGGGCTTTTCTCCTCTTTTTCTCACTCTAAGTTTTCAAAAGATTTCCAGCTTGGCAGGGTGGGGTGGAAAAGATGAGCAGAAAGGGAAAAATTAAAGTCAGAGCTACTCCACGCTTTGGAAAAAGTCCATTTTACTGTACTGAACTTCCAAAAGGAAATAAGGAGACAGAGGGAGAACAGCAGAAAGAAGATTACAATCTTCCGGGGAAAAAAAAAAAAATCATGATATGTTTTGAGATCAGGAAAGTTGCCTATCCAAAGTCTACCTGAAGAAAAGTAGGAATTAGCTTGGTATTCCCCAATGCCAAAGGTGATTTGGCTTGGTTTCTCCAGTTCCCACCCCTCTGTTGCAAAATTGTAACTGAGAACCTGAAAACTGGTCATGTCCGTGCAAAGTGGTTTCTCACTCCTTGATGATGTATTGCCTGAGGTAATATAATACACTGCAAGACAGCTCTCCTATGCTTGCTAGGCACCTTTGCTGGCACGTGGCAGCAGAGGCCCCTTTGAGGCTCCCTGCTCAGCTCACCCCTTGCACAAGCTGCCAAAACATGAAGCCTTCTCCACAATAAGGAAGAGGAGGGGACATAAATCTTTCCAAATATGACACAAAAGCAGCCAAGAGAAAGCCTGCACACTACTGGCAGCAGTGCTAGGCAGCGGACTGGGCTGGGAAAGAAGACTTCTCTACCAGTACTCCTCCAACGCATGTCTCCAGCAGGTCTCTTCTAGGCCTTGGCTTATAGGTATTAGGAGATAAAGTCCAGGCATAAACCTGGCCTTCCACATAGGCTAATGGGAGAGCAGCTATCGATGGCAACAGAGCTATGTACATCATCAGAGCTGCCTCCTACCTGGCCCGAGTCGTACCCGGAGGCTGCCTCAGCACACCCCACGAGCATCCATCCCCCCATCCCACCACATTCTTCCCAAAGCCACAAGAGTTTAAAAGACAACACACAGCATTTCTGGCTCCTAGCAGACAGACAGGGTGTCCAAGTCCACATCATCATTGCAATATTAAAAACCCACCAAGGAAAAAGTCACTGTGGCTTGACCACATCTCCCTCTGTGACCGCAGCCTGCCAGCACAACTGAGGACCAAAATGGGGACAGGCCAGTGCCCTGAACACACTGTCACAAGACAAGGGAGCAGATGAGGAGCCTGCAGCTTTCAGACCTCATGCAGACCTCAGCTGTGTTACTTTGCTGCTCCCTGGTACTGTCTCCCCATACACAAAGGCAAACAAACACCCCCTGCACCACTCTCAACTGAAAGATCAGGGAGAGTCTGCTCCTCTTCTTGAAGCCAGCAATCATGTTAACACCTTCCTTAATCAAGTTTTGGAAGTGCTGAAAGCTAGTATATAGTCAGAAAAAACAGTAAATAGGTCTGGCTAATTTTTAAAGGGAAATATTTCATTCCCACGCAGTCTTACTTCAGTATTTCCTCTACTTACCCAAGCCTTCCACCATGCCATTGCAGTCTCAGTAGTGATACCTGCGTCTGTTGGTGAAGAAAACCACACATATCACACCTCATGGTTAGGGAAACTGAGATTTGAAGGGAGTGGAGGGAGAAGAGAAAGGAAGAAAAGTTCTTTTCAATAAACTTACCTAAAGAAAATCAGAATAACTGTACTCCTCAGGAGGCTTATTCCCTCTGGAAGCTGCAGAACGTAACTGGCCTCTCTGCGCTGGGAGCACGCAGGTATAAACCATCTTTATCTACAAATTCCATGGGGCAACGCCCTCAGACATGGCTTAACCTGTTTTTTCACACATGATCTCACAGGGAGAGATCAAGTTGCTTAACAGATGAGGCTTCCCTTGTGAGGAGCCCTACATTCAACCCTGTTGACTAAAACTCACTGTAATTTTTCCACTGCTTCTCCCTACACACACCCTTCCCCACTAACATTTTGGCCTCTGGCACCAACACAACATGCAAATTACAATCAGGTAATTTCTCAGCATAAAACTCCACTGAAACTCACTGAGTTCTGCTACAACAGAATAAGCCACTCATTACTACCAACTCTTTCTATCTCTACCAATCTGGAACAGAGCAAAACAGGACTCTAGAAACTTAAAACCTCCTCTACCTTCCCTCCTTCAAAAAAAGCTTATTTTTTTAAAAAAACAAAACAAAACAAACCAACCAAACAAAAAACAACCAACAAACACAGCCACACCCCACACCATACATGTCCTGTATTTTACAGTAAAGCTCAATAAATCAGCAGATTGTACAGACACTTGGGAGGTCCCTCCCATCCCATATCTAGACTTGCATGGCATGAGTCAAGAAGCATCTCTAGGCTAACATAGGACCAGCACATTTAAGGCTAGCAACTTTCAGTAAGGCCAACTCCAGCAAAGTTGTCATAGGGCTTGCACTAGCTGCTGTAACATGTTAAGGCTTAGGACTGGAGTGTGAAATGTTAGGGTTTGAGGTTTTTTTTTTCCTTTTTCTATTTGTTTTAAAAAGAGCTGAACAGCTCTTAATGCTTTAATTTGGAGAAATGTTCCTGTGAAATCAGCTGAAATATCATATGGTTGTAGCAATATTTTCCTGTCTAGACTTTTGACAGAATCCACCAGTGCCAGCATTTATTTATTTACTGTAAATGGAAAGCTGCCCTGCTTTCCCACCAGCTATATCTTAACCCTTACTATATAGGAGCTTTGTCCCCTCTCACATTTACAGACTCACATGGGACACTGGGTAAACATCAAATTATAGACCTCTCTCATTTCCTTCCCACACACTGCTATTTCACTTCACCCAGCAGGGTCCTCTATGGCCTGGGAAGCTTCCCTGGCTATTCCCAAGAGAACGAGCTGGGCCAGCTGCTCCTGCCTTAAACACATCCATCATATGATGAGGGCAAGTCATGAAGGAGGAGGCATTACCCTTGGCATAACAAGCATGCTGCTAGGGTCTGCACTGGCTTGGTTTCTAGTCATGTTTGAGAGGCAAGTTCATCAACAGCACACAGCAAGGACAGCTCATGAGTAGTCCTTCGTTCCTCCTCCTCCTGAGGGTAAGGTAGATTCGCAAGCAGGGTGGATTTGCTTTTGCTGGACCTCAAGACTCTGCCTGGCTGGCTACATATGCCTTTTCCCTGTGTTAGGATTTAATTGGGTCAGCTTGCCATGGAGGTCAGCGTTCTTGAGGACTCCAAGGACAAAGAAGCCCTTCTAGACAGAAAATCACAGAGTCACAACAAACAGCTGTAGGTCACAAAGGGGAGCAGAGATCAAACCAGAAAGAAAATGCAGAAAAGCCCAACTGGTCATTCTTGCCAGTATGAACTAAAAATGCCGTGAAGGGACACAATAAGGGATTTTAATGCAGAGAAACACTGGCCAGATTTTAAGAAATCAATATGATTGGGCTAGGAAAGGTCTGGGAAACCTGAACCCTGCAGCAAGGTGCAGAGCAGTACTGCACAGCCTTAACGCAGACCAGAGCAGTCGGCACTGACGGGCCAGTGGAGCAGGAGGCAGACATTACAGCCCAATATCCGTTTTGCTTGCACAGATGCTGTTAAACTGAGCAGCTTTAAACACGAACAGACTTATCTTCACTACACTTCTTGTCCCTCCCTTAACACACAAGCTGTGCACGTGAGTGAGCTCATCTGTAGTTCATGCACTTTACTACTGTATAACAGAGAGACGTACACATCTTTTACAGCACCAGTAAACTATGTAAGGCACAACCTCACTTATAGCTCATTGATTATCCTCAGGAACATGTAAAACTTCAGAAAAGGAGTAGAAGATGATGCATGGGTTCTCCCCCCCCCCCCCCCCCCCCAATGAGGCCATTTTTGTATCTCAGGCAATACTCCTTTTTGGAAAGGGAACTCCAAATGCACTAACAAGACTGTCAACAGAAACTCAGCCCAACATCATAATACAGTGGTTAGAATTTGACTCAGACAGTGATTCTGTTTGCTTGTACTGTGGAGTACTGTGGTACCCCATAAAATACAGTCAGCTATCTGAAAGATGGTTACCTGGGCAGTGGGTCAACCACACTGCAGGTACAGACACTCGTAAAGTGTCTCCACAGTGAATCTTTATCAAGCCTCATCCACAGGCCTCCTCTAGGCTTTCAGAGAGTCCCTGTTCCTGTTAAGATGCCCAGCACAGCCATCAGCCAGCAAGAGTGGGCAGAAACCTCCAGCAGAAGCTGTACATTCACCGTGATGAAGTTTGGTTTGTAGGTTTTTAAGCCATTTGATCCGAACCAATTTTCAGCTAGACAAAATGAAGAAGCTACCAGAGTACTTGACTTTTCTTGACTCCACCCTTGGGACTTTCCGAGCTTGAATCCGTAACATTGGAGCTGCCCCTATATACTCCATCAGTGTAAGGAAAGTTGTGAAAGAAATCACAAGTAGGATTTTGCTTACTCTTTGTCAAATGCCAGAAATATTTAAGATGTGAAATAAAGGTGCTGATAGCCTTAGAGTAGTGCATTACTGGCATTGTTTCAGGAAGCTTTTAGCACTCATTAAGCTCTGACTGCTCTATTTTAGGTCAAATGAGAGCAGTTTATAGGATACTCTAATTTAGATTGAGAGTGACTAAAGTCTTCTAGGGTACAGAGGCAGCCCCCTTTTCCCCTTTGCCATCTGTAGGTTTATAAAGTCTGGCCTTGTGCCTGGAAAGTTTCAGATTGGGAGCTGACTGCTTTGAAATATTAAAGCTTATGGAAACCAGGTTCACAACTGCTCAGCCATTTCACTTACTCCATGGATTTCACCTGTTAGAACTTTTTCAAGTCTAACAAGAAAAGCACATCTCATCAGGGATTTCACTCCAAAGTTTGTATTTGTTGTTTCAGGGTTTTTTTGGTTCGTTGGTTTTGTTTTTTGTTGGTTTTTTTTTTTAGCCAAGAACTTGGAAATCAAGTGGAATCACTGTAGAAACAACAGATCACGTACACAGAGATACTTCTATGCAAATCAATAACCTGATTAATAGTATAATATAACTACTTAAATTTGAGGAAATCAGAGCTCACCTCTCAGACCAAACAAGCGAGAGGTATTCTGTTACAAGGCTAAAAGCTTAATAACTTTCTCCAATGCAGTCTGCAATACCACATAGAACAGTAGCTCTGATGAGGAGACAGTTCAGCAAACTGCAGAATTTTTTTTTTTTTTACACGTAACAGAAATCACTAAACTCATTCAATACTGTGCTTTCCAGGTCTGAACATAACCCCCTTGCCTACAAGTCTTTTAGCTCTACACCTATTATTAACAATACTTGCCCTGCCTTCCAGTAACTTACACCAGTCTCTTACCCCAGCAGCTGCTGTTTGCAGAAGGGCTTAGCATTCTCTCACTGTGCAAACTACACTAGTTTCATCCTGCAGATTTTAAGCCACTGCACAAACAAGCTCAGAGACCAGACACTACCTTCCACTGCTCTCCTCTTTTTTTTTTTTCCTTTCCTCCCTGTTTATGACTACTTAAATGAATATGAGCAGCTGAATGTCCTTACAATTATTAAGATCAAATGCCCTTACATCTACTAATCAGCTCACCATCACCTGAAATCAGATTGTTATATGGGAGAGCTGTGCAAATTTGCCAGCAAGCCAATCCAAACAAAAAGTTACTGTCTGTGTATGAAAGGGATGTATGCTGAGGAAAACAAGCAGGTGGGAAAGGCAGCAGTTTTGACTAAGGAGGGCATCTGTAATGCAAAAATGAAGTCACTAAAGCCTAAACAGATTGTACTCACATACCTGGCAGCTTAGTGCTTACCCTGCCTTTTCCTCTTGTACTTTTGAACCATCTTTCATAGTGAAAATGACCCCAAAATAGGATTATTTCCATTTGAAAATCACTACCACAGCTAAATTTTCCAATTTTCCTTGATTACCACAACCAGCTTTGTGCCAGGTATCGTAAGAGAAAATTAATGTCTATATGTTGTGAGAGTTGTTCAATCACAGAAGCAGCAATAGAGTGAAAACTCAGGGCTTGATTCCCCTCAGCACCTTTGTAGCTCAGAGGGAGGATGAGCCCTGGGATCAGTAGGGACAGCCAGTGCTGCAGGGGACTCTGCACAGAGCTTTGCACGTTAGTGACGTGTGTGTTGACTTGGCCTTTCCAGAGCACCTTCACTGCACAGGGCCCCTCTGCTGCTGGTGGGAGAGCCAGGGCGAGGCACTAACACAAACAGCAGAGCACGTCTCCTTGGCTTGCTCTGCCTCTGCTTTGCTTCTGGCTGGCTGTAGCTGAGCATTTTTCTGCTCATTCCTTTCTTGCACTGGTGCTGGTGCCAAGAAATTCCTCCCAGTCGCCTTAACAACCCTTCCCCACACAAAGCAGGCAATTGCTGCTCTTGTTTAACCCCAAAGGCTGACAATGAAAGCACCCTCTGAATCAAAATGGGCAAAGGCAGCTCACTTGGGCCTGATGGGGAGGTGACAGATGCCAGGAGTTCGCAT